GTACCTCCTATAACGTCGTTTCGCGACAAGATTGATAGAGTCTGGACCAATAGTGGATGAGCAGCCGAACTACTTTCCTCCGACCCTGCGCCACGCTACGGAGCGGCTAAATTGAGTTTGCTATCGTCTGTTTAGTATTATATATAAATTAGGTACTGTACATATAATTATATATTAATTATATATAAATTAGGTACTGTATATATAATTATATATTAACTTAATTTATTGTAACTTTATTATAATTATATATATGCTTTCTGCCGCCTGGCAACATGCTACGGAGATTTTAGGCTAGTAAGTTGAGTTTATTATTGTCTGTACAGTATGTAAATTAGGTACCGTAAGTCTAATACATCACTCTAATTTTATACATTTCTTGTGAAAGAAACACTTCTTATTCAACGGCCATAAAAATTATTTCTATTAACGATGTCTCCAAAGTTCAATGAATTTTTCGCAGAAAAATAACTTATCAGAAATCGCAGCCACTGTTTGGTGCGACACTTGGTAAGTAATCCTACAATTTTTTGTTTATAGCATAGTTTATACAGATTATTCCCAAAAAATTATATGTATTTTGGAAATATTGAGTCGAATTAGTCTAGAATTGATTAATTTTATGGAAGGAAACCTTTCAAACAGCCGTAGTCCATAAATTTCACATGGCTCTGATTGGCTCATGTATTTAAAGATTCCTACAACGCGAAATTCTTAAGCGGAACGTATCTACCACGTTATAGGGGGGTCTACTGTATAGCAGTGAATACAAGTTACAGGTCTTGTATGCAATACTGCACATATAACTTTAATGTCATTACAAGTTCTCACTGAACTGTAGCTTTTAGGACACTCTGTGTGTGTTTGTGTATTTAATATTACATATTCAGTCACATCAATTTTGGAAATAGTCAAGCATAATGAAAAATATCTTTATGGAACTTTTGAAATTAAAATAACTAAGGTATTAAGGTTGTTGTTCAAAACTTAATACTTTTTTTTTTATAAACAGAGAGAATACATACAAGATGAAAAATACATTAAAAAATAACATTTGCTTTTGAATTTTTACTTAATTTCTTAAAAATTTGTTTTTTTCTTTCAAAACAATGAAACAAATTGTTTTTGAATGTTTATTTTAATTTTTTAAAATTAATCATAATTTATAACTTAAAAAACAGTCATCACATCATGAATTAATCTATTTTTATAACATTTTGGTCATTTCTTAATTATCTCTAATGAAGCTTATTAGATAAATTAAGCAATTTACCATTTT